TTCTTCCGTTTCAATACAATAGTCTTATTTATCATTTTTATCCTTTCTAAAATAATAGCCTTATTTTCATAAACAATCATATCACCGTAAAACTACCTATACTTTTTCATTTTTATTATACAATTTCCCCTATTTTTTAAACTAATATACTTACAAGAACAAAAAAATCTTTTATCCATACTTTTTACCCATTACCAATATAATATAATATTTCTTAAATCTCATGTTCAACCCAATTAAAACTATATTTATGATGCAAATTTGTTCTTTTTGTAATGTTTTGCTAATGAAGAGAGTACTTTGGAATTTTATTAATATCATTATTGATTTCACTATAATTATTTTTGGAAATAAAAATAATAATAAAGAACACATATAATATATTATATATTTATATATAGTAAAATATATGTTAATTTCAACAATATATATTTTGATTCAACACAAAAATAATTTGATCCAATTAGCTAATGTTCTTAAATAAAAATAATAAAAGAAAAAAGCAAATCATCATATAATATATAACACATTATATAACACAATATATGTTACTTGTCTTATAACGATTTATTAATTGTTTCAAATTAATATGCTAGCTTAGTGATGTGCTATATATCCCCCGCCCACATAATTATATAGGGTGCATCATATTGTGCGTCAATACTAAACCTCACTCTAATAATTTAATAAAGTGTAAATCTGATTTACTTTTGTCCGTATGAGATGATCGGATGATGTGTGGGTGGACTTGTGACCGTAAAATTATTGATTCAAACCTCTGACATCTGCAGATCTTGTCTGTAGTCTGAAAAAGAAAAAAAAAATTATATTTGATTTGATATTTTATAAAATATATACATTTGATGTGATATTTTTTCAAAATTAAATAGTATTTTTCTATAAGGTAAAAAATTAACAAAATAGGGAAAAAAAAAAAATCATTCTCATTATTCATTCTTAATTTCATTTATCTTTATGGTATTTTTTCAAAGCTTTTTAAAATCAAAATCACTATCATGTTTATCACAATAAATACACAAAAATCTTATTTCTTATATCATGATTAACTTGATCGAAAATTTTCAAAGTTTTCTACTAAGAATATGTGCAAATTTATTAAGGGTGTGTTTGTTTTCATTTTTTTTTTTTTTGTCATTTTCAACACGTATAATTTTTTATAAAAGTAATTTTTTTTTTTAATATTTAAATTTTTTTTACCATCTTTACAATATCCGATGACTAAAAACAAAAAGAAGTTGGTTCGACAATGGTCGACCAAGCCCAAATATATTATAACAATTATATTATAAATTTCTATGTAAAAGTTTCAATAAATTAACATGATTATGAAAGTTTTTATTAACTTTAGGCGTGTTTTTATATATTTTTAATTTAAAGGAAATGTAAAGAAAAAAATAAAAAGGTAAACTCATAAAACCAAAATTTTTAATTTAAAAGATTCTGTCATTTTTTTTTCAGCTTTACATTTCCTCTAAAATACTTTATAAGAATCACCACAAATTTTTTTAGAACTAAATTAATATATATATATATAAAAAAAACTACTATAAAATAATATTATAAGTTCATATGTATTCAATAGTTTTATTAGATGAAAAATAAGAATTACATTAATTAAATATTAGACACGTATTCTGCTCCACAAAACGCGGCTCAATAATATTCTTCATCTAGTCCATATATTATAAAAAATAACAAATAAGTCTAGTACATGTATATTAGATAATTACAATTTGGTTCATGCATTGGAATTTAGAAGATACGGCACTAAACATATCTAAATTATTTGATAATAGTTTAATAAATTATTATATTTCATATAAATTTAAATTGTTATAATATTATATAATAAACAAATACATATGGCCGATGTTTTGCATCGATTTGATTAAATTAGCACATAATTAAATTTTCATCACAAAACAGATACAGATATAGTGTGTTATATAGAAATGATATATTGTGTTGTTATATACACTACTGTATTATACTCTCTTTGTTCCAAAATTATAGTCTGAATTGTGTTTGACACGAAATTTAAGAAATATTGATATTATATTGTAGTGGATAAAATTATGGAGAAAAGACTTTTTTACGGTTGTGAGTATATTAGTGTAAAAAGTATTGACAATTGTGTAATAATAATGAAAAAGTAAGGGTAGTTTTGTAATGATATGGTTATTTATAAAAATGAGACTATTGTTTTGGAACGGACAAAAATGATGAACAAAACTTTTGTATTGGGACGAAGAGAGTACAATTTATTTATTGTGTTAAAATTACTATACGCTGTACTATATAAAATTATATAATACGCTATGTTATATATTGTATTAATATTTGTTATGTAAGTTATATATTTATAGTGTTGTAATTTAATTATATTAAAATAAAAATATATTGAGCTACATATAATTATATAATATAATGTCAAAATGTGATATGTACAGTTTATTATATTAAGATATGTCTGAAAAAATCTACTACCTTTTAATAAACATGTCTGATTGAATGACTGTACCATCGGATATGGAATACTCCTATCTGTTATAATTCAAAGGTTTTTTTTTTTTTTTATCATATTTGTATTTTTTTTATTATAATTAACAATTTTATCCTTTTATGAGACAGGTAGAAAAAATATGTTCAAAATAAAAATGGTGAATATATAAAGAATAAAATTTTTTTTTGTATAAAATAGAAAATAAAATAATAGTTATATTGACAGTTTAAAATAGGAAATTAGGATATTAATGTGTGTATCGAACACACTGAAATATTCGCTCCGTCCCAATATAATAATCTTATTTATTATTTTTGTCCGTCTCAAAATAATAGTCTCATTTTCATAAATAATCATATCATCATAAAACTATCCTTACTTTTTTATTATTATTACACAATTGTCACTACTTTTTACACTAATATACTCACAATGACAAAAAAGTCATTTATTTTTACTTTTTTATGAACTATCAATATAATATCAATATTTTTTAAATTTTGTACCTAACACAATAAGACTATACTTTTGAAACGGAGGGAGTATATTTTAACGCTCCATCTGTCCCGGTGCAAGGTTGCCATTTACTTTTTGCACGTAAGTTTTTTAATATTAGTATTATAATGGGTTGGAGAGAAAATAACGAAAATGCCCCTCATAGTATTGTATAATATAAAAGTAATGACATTTTGTATAATATAGTGTAAGTTGTAAGGGTATTTATTATATTAGGTAAATAATATAATTACTAAATTAAAAAATGATAATCTTATTTTGGAACAAACAAAAATAAAAAATAACAATATTTCAATTGAACAGCTGTAGTATATTATTAATTTTACTTTCCTAAAGTTTTATGATTGTAATAACATGGATATTATAGGTGAAATATTATTTAAATTAAAAAAAAAAAATAAACCCTAAACAAATGAATAAATCTCCAAATATAGCATTATTATTGACAGCCTGTTATACATTAATCAATTTCTAATGGTCAATATTTACATTATACATTCTACAGTCTATCTAAAACATCAATTATTACAATAATAAGAAAATCAGCCCACCACACATATAATTATGGAAACTGCTGCTCCAGATGACAGCAAGATTACAACTGCCCACACAATCCCCACCGTCCACTCCCAACACACGTACGGTTCGGATCAGATCAGGACTCAAGATCCTGGGAGCCGCCAATCAATTCCTGTACGAAAAGACATCCTCATGAAAAAATATTGTTATGTCCTTTGTAAACTACTCGTCTCGTTCCCACGGTGTCGGCTTTACTTTTTACAGGATTAAGAAATTTAGAAAAAAATATAATTAATAAATGATTAAAAATATATTAAACAAAAATAGTTATTATTTAATAAAAATAATTTAAATTAAAATTGATAAAATATTTAAATTAAAAATTTTAAAATAAAATTAAATATATAATACTTTTTAAAAAAAATGACAGAATAAGTAAAATATACGAAAATAAAAAAGTGCATATTTTAAGTGGGACGAAGAGAATATTATTATTTTTTTTTAGTTTGTTCCATAACAAAATATTTTATCCGTTCACCTATATAGTATATATATTTCTAATTTGGGAGAATTACAAAGTAACCATTTCATTAAATACTTTTTTTTCCGTAAATACCCTTACTTTACATCACATTATTACTTTTATACCAAAAAAATAAGGGCAAATATGTCATTACACTACTTTATATACTCACTTCTTAAAGTCCACGCCAAATGTAAATGTATACTTATTGTTTGGACGGAGGAAGTATCTACTTTTATTTTTAGTAACAGTACTATTTGCCTAACATTATAAATATTTTTTTAAAATTTATAATATATTATACAAATATATTACTTTTACATTTATTTCTATTGCATCTCAATATAATACTAATATTTTTAAATTTTAATTTAATTTCTTTATCTTTATTTATATTACATACAAATATAATATTCCATCCGTTCAAAAAAAATATCTTATTGGGAATAGACACGAAAATTAACAAATAATACTATTTAATTAAAAATAATATAAAACATAAGGTAAAAAATTAAAATATTGTTACTTTGAATGATTTTAAAAAATAGATTAAAATAATAATGATGAATAGTTTAAAATAATAGAAATAATTATATTATAAAATAAGGGCTATAATTACTAAATAAAAAAATAAAATAATTATTTTAATATAGACAAAAATAATATACGAGACAAATCTATTAGAAATTGAGGAAGTACCATAATTTTTGAAATTTTTACAAAAACAAGCAGATAAATAAATATAGGAAGAAGGAAGCAGTACATCCGACCCAATAAAGTAAAATTAAAATAATAATAATAAGAAAAACCGCGTAGAGACAACCAGCCAACTAACGTTGAAAACGTCGACGGAAATTGGAGAAAAAAAAAATATATATATATATATATATAAATAAAATAAAATTTGAATCCAATTACCAAAATTCAAATAAGGAGCGGGCGGCGCCACCGCAGATCCGACGGCCGGAGATGAAATTCGGGAAGGAATTCGCCGCGCAGATGGTGCAGGAATGGCAGGAAGCTTACGTGGACTACAACGGTCTGAAAGAAATCCTTAAAGATCTGCTAACACACAGACGGAACCACGACGACGCCGTCTCCTCCTCGTCGCCGCGCCTGAAAAGGAGGCAGACTCTCTACCGGGCCTTCAGCGGCCTAACGGGCGGGTACAGGCCCGAGTCGGGTTCGGGTTCGGGTACGGGCTCCCCCAAGAAGAACTACGAAGACCAGGTGATCCTCGTCAGCGCCGTCGGCGACGTTCGGGGCTCCGACAGCCATTACGAGACCATGTTTTTGAGATCCGCCGAGGACGGCGGCGAGAAGGAGCTCCTCTTTTTCCGGCGACTCGATCACGAATTCAACAAGGTCCTCAAATTCTACCGCGAAAAAGTCGAGGCGGCGGCTGCGGCGGCGGAGGGGCTGAGCAAGCAGATGGATGCGCTCATTGCTCTCAGGATTAGAGTCGTTAAGCCCTCCGGAATCGTGCCTGCGCCGGAATATTCCGTTCGATCTCCGTCGCCGGCGGAGATTCCGGCGTCAATGGTAACCTCGAAGCAAGGTAGTAATACGACATTACAATTTGGGAATCTAATTGGCTTATTGCGCTGAAATTAATTATGACCTATGCTATCGGAATTATTATCTAAAAGTATTGGATTATGACTTGAGATTTTAAAAGTAAAAGTTATAGATTAGAATAATTGTATAATGTGTTATAAATAAATTTGAGGCGATGTTTTAAAACTAAAATTGATTTTTATTATTACTTATGTCCGACTCAAAGGATCCTATTTACTTATTTATTTTTTAATTGTTGATATTTAAATATTAATTATTATATCAAACCTTAATACAAATTAAGAAAAATTATAAAAATACTTCTATTAGTGTTTTATAATATGAAAGATATTTTTAACGTTAAGTGCAATGATACAAAAGATAAATGTGATACTTAGAGCGGACGAAGAGAGTATAATATATAAAATAAAAAATAGTTCTTTGATTAAATTGATTAATAGTAATTTTTTTGAAAATTTCCAAAAATGAACATACCCTTAATACATATGTTTCAATGTTAGATGAACTGTGGCATGTGCTATATGAACTATTATCTGCTATTAATTATGTAGACTATTATGATACGTCCTACGCTTGTAATGAGTACTAAAATACAGTGCATTTTTATGTGTTTTTGAAGATGTTCGACGAATGGAGGCAATTCAAGAAGTGGAAATGATCGAGGAAGACTTCCGGTCGGCGCCATTAGAGGTTTTGGATCACGTGAAGATCAATGTCGATCCGGCGACGCCTGTGTCGACATTAAGGACCGTTTTAGGGAGCTCAAAATCGGAGCTTTCATTCAGCAAAGATGAGCTGAAAATGACAGAGGAGAAGCTGAAAATCGCATTCATCGAATTTTACCAACAGCTCCGGTTGCTAAAAAGCTATTGGTAATAAAATTTCTTCGCCTTCGAAAAATCTTCAAAAAATTAAAAAATTTATTTCACAAATATCATTGTATTGTGTTTCGTGCAGCTTCTTGAACATGCTTGCATTCTCCAAGATAATGAAGAAGTATGATAAGGTATAGGTTAGCTCGACTCGACTCGACTCATATTCAAAATGATATTTTCCCAACACGTATCTTCAAAACACTTGTTGCTAGTTAATGTTCATTCGCAGTTCAATTGTTCAGAGATTTTTCTTTGTTGATTTTTTAAGTTTGTTACTACTGTGCGTGAGTTAATCGTTTTTTCGGGGTCAGCAACACTTTCAAAACATATAGTTAATCGTTTTTTCAGGGCCAACAATACTTTCAAAACATATCTAAACGCACGTTAATCTTCTTGTAGATAACTTCAAGGGGCGCGTCGAAATCGTACTTAGAGATGGTGGATAAGTCGTATCTCGGAACATCCGACGAGGTTGACAAGCTCATCACAAGGCTCGAATCGACGTTCATCAAGCATTTTACGAACGGGAATAGAAGGAAAGGAATGAAATGCTTGAGGCCCGCCGGAGTTAAGGAGGATAAGCACCGGACAACGTTCTTCCTCGGTGAGTCCGAGGATACTATACCCCGCACTAACGATCAATTGTCTGATTGACTAAACAAATATACCGTTGCGCGCAGGTCTTTTCACCGGGTGCGCGATCGCGCTCGTCGCTACGATAATTGTCATTGTGCACGCCCGGAATCTTCTTAATCACGAAGGGCGGCAGCAGTACATGGAAAGCATATTCCCTCTCTACAGGTGTTAGTCGAAATCGCGGACTGTATTGACAAATATTTTCGCTTCGAAATAGCTAATAAGATTTACCTTACGTCGACTCGCAGCCTATTCGGATTCATCGTCTTACACATGATAATGTACGGCGCGAACACTTACCTATGGAGGCGATACCGAGTGAACTACGCTTTTATCTTCGGATTCAAGCCGGGAACTGAGTTAGGATTCAGGGAAGTGTTCCTTGTTGCGTCGGGCCTATCAGTTCTCGCCTTAGCTGCCGTGATCTCGAATTTGGACATGGAGATGGACCGGAGCACTGAAAACTTCAAGACATTAACAGAATTAGTTCCGTTAACCTTAGTCATCGTAAGTTCGCGCGCTGTATTCGATCCTCGACTAAAGAGCATACTAATCTTTCAATATTTCTATCTCGCAGGCAGTTCTCATCATTACATTCTGTCCTTTCAACATCGTTTATCGCTCGAGCCGGTTCTTCCTCCTCCGCTGCGCGTGGCACTGCATTTTTGCACCACTCTACAAGGTATCGATCTCAAATTCGATTTAGATTTATATATATATGTAAGAACTGGAATAGTTAGTTGTACCTTATGTTGTATGTAGGTAACATTGTCCGATTTCTTCTTGGCGGATCAATTAACAAGCCAGGTGAGATTCATTAGTACAAGTTACTGTGTTTTTAGCGACTAAAAAACAGATTATCCGATAAATCGTGTAAGAACAAATGGTTCAGGTTCAAGCTTTTAGGAGTTTGCAATTCTATGTGTTCTACTATGTGTGGGGGGACTTCAAGAAGCGATCGAACGATTTCCTTGATAGCAACGTGTATAAAAATGTGTACATTGTCGTGGCGATCATACCGTTCTGGTGGCGCTTTCTTCAGGTGAGTCGAACAATGTCTGTTACCCGGCGTGCCACGCTTTTACAACATCGGTGTCTAAACTCGGGCTTGTCTGAACTACACAGTGCCTCCGGCGATTGTCCGAGGAGAAAGGTGCTGAAATGCAGGGACCCAACAGCCTCAAATACTTGTCGACAGTCGTGGCGCTCGTGATGCGAACGATTTATTCTCAGAAGGGTGGAACTTTCTGGAGAGTCATGGCTTCGTCGACGTCGGGGGTTACGACTCTGTGCAACACGTATTGGGACATCGTTGTTGACTGGGGCCTCCTGCAGAAGAACGCGCGCCATCCGTGGCTGCGCGACAAGCTGTTGATATCGAACCGGGCCGTGTATTTTGTCGCCATAGTGAGTAGTGTTGCATTTGCATCGAAATTTTTTTTTGCGTTCGCTTCCACGCATCTTCGTCATGATGGTAAATGGTTTTCGGCGGGACTCGAATACAAGATGTTTTGGCTCTTATATCATGTTAAATAATTGTTTCAGCTAAAAGCTTAACATGGTATCAGAGTCGGAGTGTCTCGTATTCGAGTTCCACTGTCCTCCATTCGTCATCGTCTACTCGCGCGCATCTTCGTCGCGATGATAAATGGTTTTCGGCGGGACTCGAACACGAGATGTTTTTCTCGTATTCGAGTCCCACTGTCCTCCATTCATCATTGTCCACTCACGCATATTTTTATCGCGATGATAAATGGTTTTCGGTGGGACTCAAACACGAGATGTTCTGACTCTGATATCCTGTTAAATAATTGTTTAGCCTAAAAGCTTAACATGGTATCAAAGTCGGAATATCTCTTATTCGAGTCCACTGTCCTCCACTCGTCATCGTCCACTCGCACACATCTTTATCGCGATGATAAATGGTTTTTGGCAGGACTCAAACACGAGACGTTTTGGCTCTGATATCCTCTTAATAATTGTTTAGCCTAAAAGAATGTCTCGTATTCGAGTCCCACTGTCCTCCATTCATCATCGTCCACTCGCGCACATCTTTATCGCGATGATAAATGGTTTTCCGCGGAACTCGAACACGACGCGTTCTGGCTCTGGCATCGTATTAATTAACTGTTTAACCTAAAAGCTTAACATGGTATCAAAGCCATAATGTCTCGTATTCGAATCCCACTGTCCTCCACTCGTCATTGTGCACGTGCAAAATTCATATGTTCCATAAATCTATTTTAGTTGATTTTATAATATATAAATGGCGCATCGTCGATTGCAGGTTGTGAACGTACTCCTAAGGCTCGTGTGGATGCAGCTGGTTCTCGACCTCAATGAAGCGCCGTTTCTTCATAAGCAAGCGATGGTTGCGACCGTCGCCTGCTTGGAGATTCTGCGCCGCGGCATTTGGAATTTCTTCAGGTTTGATTATGATTTTATCGATTCTTACTTGGCTCGGCTCGGCTCGGCTTGTTTTTCGACGCTAATGCCGCCGCGGTTCGGACATTGCAGGTTGGAGAACGAGCACTTCAACAACGTCGGGAAATATCGAGCATTCAAATCCGTTCCGTTGCCGTTTCACTACGAGGATGAAAAGAGCCTGTGACAACATAGACAAGATACCATACAATGCATAGAGATCAATTTATAACATACTGTATATTGTAAAATTTTGAAATTGTTTGTTAATTTATATACTACATCATTTTTATATATATTATTTGGTAAATATTTAAAATAATAAAAATTATTCCACTCAAAACATCGTGTATATATTTATCTTTAAATAGTATTTGATGTGATATTTTGTTTGAAAAAAAATTCAGGACACTTGCAAGCACGTAAGAGTGTAACTTAGCGCACCATAATAGATTGTAACAATATACATACACATTTTTAATTTGAATTATTTTTTTATTATTATTGTTAGATATAAAAAAAATGTGACAATAATATAAAATGTATATATATATATATTTCAAAATGTGAAATAACAAAATATGTGTGATGTACTATTTCAATTTTTCACTTGCTCCATTACTCATCAATTATGTTTCATTTATTTGTTATCAACGGTATAATTGTATAATTCTGAAGAATTCTCTATTATTGATCCCCTATAGCAATTGCAATGGTTTTAATATAAACAGCTTCTTTGTCAGATTAGAAGATTTATTTCAGGATATTTCAAAAAATAAAATGTAATGGCTTATATTTTGATTGAAAAAAAATGAAAAAAATTGATCGTGCTTAGTGCAGGCAAAACCTAATTCAGGCTATGCATTTTCTTTCTTTCTCTCTATCTCTCTACTCTTCATTTTTTTTCTCTCCACATTCTTACTTTCTTCTCTCCTCTTTTTACTTTCTCTCTCCTCGTTGTGTCTCCTCTTCTTTTTTTCTCTCTCTTCTTTTTTTTTTTCTCTCTCAAATAGAGCTGTTGCTCAATTTATCTCTCTTTACCTATAAAAATATAGAATATTACTTGGACAAGTAAGCTAACAAGCTTTTTTCTCTCTATACCATTGCACTTGCTCTTAACACGGTATTTGATTGCTCGGTGCCTCAAGATTGCCGCCGACAAAAGGATGCTTAAGGCCTCCTTGTAGATATTTCATCTAATCCTACTTTGTGAGGGTTCTTCAAAATCATTTCTTATGGAAATTAGGTTGTTAATCAATTCATAGTCACAATATAAGTAGATAGATATTGTTGAATAATTGATTTTGAATAAATTAATCGATAGAATTTAATTTTCATAAATTAAATTTGGAATTCTCATAATCGGTTAATGGTACTACAAGCTGAGGAAAACAATTCTAATTAATCATTCCACATTGAAAGTTAGACAAAGTGAATTGTGTTTATATATAATTTTACTGGATAAAAGAGATAAAAGAGTGTAGTTCTTTTTATTGTTAAAAATTAGTTTTAGAATAGACATGAAGAATTACACTTCAATTCCATTTTTTTTTAAAAATATTTTTAAATAAAATTATTTCTTTAAGACAAATATAATAAAAGCCACAAAAATATACTCACTCCGTTCGCATAGAAAGTAAATATTTACTTTTGGCGCGGTGTTTAAAAAATGATAGTATGCTAATTATAGTAAATAATTAAAAGTTATGTAATAGCATATTTGCATCTACTTTTTGGTGTAAAAGTAATGATGTGATGTAAAGCAATGATATTTGTGAAAAAAAAAATAAAATATTTATTTTGTAATTATACGTCCCAATATATAAATATATATGATTTCTAGTTGGACGGGAGACCATATATTTTTTATTAATATTGATGTAGCCATCGACAACCATCACACATTCTTAACACTCCTCACCATTGAGTCCGTGACAAAATTCCTCATAAAAAATAATAAATAAATATTTAATTTGGTATTTTTTAGATTTTTTTTTTTTCTTTTAATGAATAGTCAAAATCGGGTTCACAACCTACAAACAAAAACAACCTATGTCTTCCTTGTTTTAGTTTTTTTATTTTTTATTTTTTCATAATTATATATTTTTCTCATGTTAATTACTTTCAAAGTAGCTTCTTCACTTTAGTCTATTAGGCCTCAAGTTTTTGTCCATTTTCTTTTGTGTTTGGACTCATATTCTAAGGGCTTTTAGATTGAATCATCTTGCTCAAATTTAGAAATTTTTTTTCTATTTTAGAGGTTTGATTTGAAAATAATTAATTTGAATGGACTCATATTTAAAATAATTCAAAATTTAACTTAGTTCAATAAACTACTTTGACATATGTATAATTTGCAGACCAATTATAAATAATTGATCCCTTTAAATGTAAGAAAAATTCTACAAATACAGGCGTGTCACATGCACAAAGAATTGATACGGTGACACAAGGGATCAATTACGATACTAACAATTTCCCAAATTTATCAATTACCATAAGTCTATTATGATACACATATAGTTGTAAAATAAGACTAGCGAATTAATTTACAAATTATTATAACCTATTAACAAACCTTTAAATGGGTAGCCCGCCACAGCAATGATCAGCTACAATTTAGTCCCAACAATCAAATCCGCTGGGTGACAAGCCGAGTTAACTCATATATTTTTTAGGAATATTAAAATTATAAATATCTTTATGTATCAATATATATATATATATATATTATATATATATTAGTTATTTTTAATACTTTTGAAAGCACTTTTTGATAAATCATATGTTAATATTGTTGAGTAAGAAAAAATGGTTTTTTTAGAATGGGCTTATCAATTGGATTGGATTGATGTATAGTTCAATGGTCTGATAATGGTAGTAGGGTTTTAAATGAAGTCGGGCGAAGAAAGATGAAATGGCAGACACGGAAGTCGGACAAGGGGAAAAGTCTGTTAATTGGTCGGGCGAAGAAAGGTTTATTAATTGGTCGCTTAATTAAGCAACTTGTTAATCGCCCAATCGATTGGCCGATCATTAGGTCAAACTGTAGTTCAGTCACTGCTTGAAAGGACGGTCAGTTGGTCGCTTGATTGGGCGATCGATGAATCGTCTGGACGAATGGTTGTTCAGCCGATTGAAGGGACTGGAGGGTGATCGCTTGATTGGGCGATCGATGAATAGTTGTTCAACCGTTTGAAGGGACTGAATGGTGGTCGCTCGAGTGGGCGACTTGATTAGTCGTTTGGTCTAGCGACCAGTTAGTATCTAGATTAGTCCTTTGGTCAATCGTTGGATTATTCGGTAGGTTCAGTCGGTGGATGGTCCAGACGATTTCTCAGTCGGGTGGTGATTTATGATCCGTCTAAAAAGGCGAAGGTTGTTTTCAAAGTTATAGGGTCGAGCAAACGGTTGCTAAATATAAATGCGACCAAAGACAGTTTTTCAGACGGTTGTAAACACGAAGAGGTTTCTCTATCAGTTATAACCGGTAGTGCACGATCTAATAACTGACTTAGAAGGCATATAAGGGAAGTTACAATCGGCGAGCGGATCGGACAAGTGGAAGGCGGGCAAGAGGAGACGTAGCAGCAGGTATGCCGGTCGGACGAAAAGCAGTTCTAAGACGGTTGAGAGAAGTTACAACCGGCGAGCGGATATGAAGGCACGACTTGGTTGTGGCGGTTGACATAGGTTTTAAATAGGTCTGTTCATGACCTAAAAAAACCATCTTCAATCTACATCAAATTCACTGGAATTTCTTTTGGGGATTACCATTTGGAATTTCTTTTGGGGATCACCGTTTACTTTTACAGTATGTAGTAGTTATTTTTCCTATTTTATTTATGTATCATACGGTGTCTAGGGATTCTTAAATTTTACTCTTTATTGTTGAAAATCGGCATCACCTAATATATATTCATCTATTTGATATTGTACAAATGATATATATGATTCTACCAAAAAATAAAAATAAAAAAGTAGAAACGATTCTAGATAGTTTAAAACATTCTAATAATTAATAAGAATAATCTTACCCTTGAACCAAATCAATCACATCCTTCCATTAGGATGAATTGTATATAAATAGGGACATATAATTCACTTAATTTTATATTAATTATAATAATAATTATTATTATATGTGAAATAAATAGAAATTATAAAAATATTTGAGTTTTTTATTTTTGAAATAGTTGTCCAATATGAAATTTGTATAAAAATATAATTATTTTTATAAATGCCAAAATATTAAAAATTTAAAAAGAAATTAACAATATTTATATAAAAGAATTAGTTTACTTTAATATATAAAATTATAATAGTAAATAGTAAATTCCAAAAAAACAAATAATATTTATAAATTAAAAATAAAAACAATTATATTATATTAATTTTCAATTGTTATAATAGAAAATTTTGATAAATAATAAGATTATATTATTATATATATAATTTTATAGGACAAACCATATATGCTGCAAAATTGTAAGTTCAAATATCCCAACATTATAATTTTTTTGTTACAATTTTTATTATTTAGGTTTTTTTAGGTCATGAATTTGTTACTTTCTTTTACAAATTTTTCAAATTTTTTTATTATTATAAAATAAATCTAGAAATATTAGATCACACGTTAATAAAACTTTTAAAACTCAAATAAAATAAAATATATAGTTGATTTAGAATCACAAAAAATCATTATTACTTATAACTTTGTTCAATCTGAATTATAATAAAAATCTAATCGACTTCTTCTTCTTACTCGCGAAGATAGAGAGAAAGTATTCTTTGTGAAATCCAGGTTGGGGAAGGAGCACCAAACATATATTTCATAGACAAAGAAAAGATATTGAAAAGAACGTCGAGACATTTGGGATTTGGCTTAATCGAGGAGAAGCATTTACTTTCGGTTTGATAATCTTATTTCAATACATGCACATGGAGCGTGAACGCATAATGTATATCTACTTTAACAAGAAAATATGACTATCTGTAATATAATTTTTTAACGGTCAAGAAATTAATTAGATTTTTCCAAAACAAACAAATAATTTATGCATGAAAAGGCAACCGAACCATAATATTAGTAGTCTATATCAGTCATCAAAGACCTTGCTTAATCATAACTGCACATAATTCACTTTTGATGGGTTGCAAAATTTCGTAGTAACAGCTATTGCTTCAACACATACTTTTGACGACAAATATATATATATATATATGTGTGCTTGCGCAATGCAACTATAATAGCAGTCGAGAGATGTGTAGACTTATAAAATGTATGCTCCAACCAGTCACCAGTCAAGTGATTAATCAATTATAATTTAG